GTCAGCCATCAGTGTGACGTGCTGCCCTGTAATTCTGGGCTTCTGACAACATTAATTTACTACTCTCAACATGAGCCCAGAACTCTGGGGGATCCTCTTGCCAGATTTCACCCAGGAGACCCCTCTGTGGGTGGTATGAGATTCCAGGGCCTCCAAGCTGCAGTGCTGTGTGCACTGTGCCCTCCCCCAACACCAGTTAGTGCCAGGTTAGCCACATGGTGCCACTCAGCCAGTGTTCTCTGGGCCATGGGTGTGAACTAACCCTTTATTTGTGAAAGTGGCTTCATCCCTCAGAGCACCACACTATGGTGCTCCCCCAGAGAGACCAGGAAGAAGCCCCAAGCATGCACGGAGGAGCTGCCAGGCCCAGTGAGGCGGCCCAGAATGCATCTACCCTGCACGGAGACAGGACTTGCTCCAGTGCATTTCCCTGCAGGGCTTGTCAAACAAAGGACAGTGACCTCAGAGAGTACTGGCCATGTACTGTCCAGGCCATGCTCCCGCCTAAGGGCTTTGCACCTGATAGAGGTGCAAAGGAAGCAGTGCCAGGAGTGTCGGCTGCTCAGGATGGCTGTCCAAGGGACGCCTTGGCGGCATGCTACTGGAGAACACCGGCCACCTCGGCTCTCCAGCCTCCCCCTTCCCACGCAGACAATCCCGCGACTTCCTGAGGATTCATACAGTTGCTTTGGGCTACATACCTGCTAAGTGATTTCTGTTCTTCTCACTGGCCAGGCTCTCCTGGAAAACTTTTCTGCAGTGTTCCCAAGTGCCCCAGAGCTCATGGAGATGGCTGAAAAGAGAGGGGAGGCCAGGAGGTTACTCAGCAAAGAGCCAGCAGAGGCCAGCAGCCGGCTTTCCTCCCTGTCCCTTCCTCTGCTCTTGGAGTTCCTGTCTGGCCCTGAGAGGGAAGGACCCCAGAGAGCTGGGCAGGTGCCTCAAGGGCTCTCTCTTGCCCTCACGTCATGCCTTAAACTTGGCAGTCTTGGGAATAAGTTCAATAAGCTGGGGCTGGGGACATAGGCTGTCCCGAGCTCTTTCTGGCTTCCCAAGTCCCATCAAAGCTGTCTGACCCCGGCGTTGTGACCGGCCCAGGTCCTGGAGAACATCCTGGAGGTTCAGGGAGAAGCAGGACAGGGCCTGTCTCCTTCTGCCTGCCGTTGCTGTCTTAGGGGAGTAAGCTCCAGTGGCAGCAGTTGGAGTGGGGGGTTTGGAGAGAAGTAGCTTTTATGCACTTGCCCTTACCGTCACTGATGGGCACCTGCCACCAGGCTGAGGGATTCTGTGCATATCAACCTGAGCAGCTGCTCTGTGGGATCTCTGGGTCCTGACAAAGAAGGGGTCAGCATGTAGGTATCAGGTCAGAGACCCTTGGAGCAGTCGCTTTCCCTTGAACTCCATCCTGAGTCAGCTGACAGACAACAGAGGCCTCCGTGCCTCCTCCTTGCCATCCCTCCTAAGCAGAAAGAGAAAGTGCCCTCCTTTCCTTTCCTCCTTTGCTATTGTTTTGTTCCTGAGTCAAATCCGGCTACCAGCCAGAACACATCCCCGCCCAGTGCCGGCCCATCAGCACTGGCTGCTCTAGCGCACAGGAGCAGGGCGGGAGCCCTGACGCCCTCCAAGCTCAGAACTTACAGTAAGAAGTTGTTGACCCTGGTACATGCTCACCCTGCAACACCTGCAGCCGTCTTTCCTGGAACACCATCTAGAGCAGCAGCAGCTGTAGCCTATCCTGGGATCCTCTGTGTGGTCGTGGAAACCACACAAATTCCAAAATGCTTGCATCAAGGTGTTGTGTCAACTCCACTTCCCCTGACCTTATCTTTGTGACAGGTGCATCAGCACCTACTCTGTCATATCACACCGACTTCTTTGGAATAGTGGAAAGTATGTCATTTCTATGTCCTTAAAACCTGCCCTCCCCCATTTCTTTCCGGTTGCAGCACAGGCTCAGGAAAGAGCCTGAACTTATAGACAACTGCCCAGGCAGTCTGCTCATCCCGGCACCTCTCCCTAGGCCCCTTGGGTGGGGAGAGGGCAAAAGCACAGACTGATCCCACAGGGTGATGCTGTGGTTGGCAGCGTACCTGCTTCAGCTGCTTGCCATGGGACCCCTTACTGCTGTTAACCAAGCAGAGGCTGCCGTCTCTCCCTGGCCACTCATAAAAGACAGAGGATTCTGGATCCTTGAAGGAAGTACAGTGAATAGCAAGCTTCCTAACAACATTTTTGGGTTTTTTTGGCCAATTTGTGGGTCATTTAGTGTCCAAATTAGGGGTCCCACAATCAAAATGTTAATGCCCTTTTTTGCACCACAGTATGCCAATTTTCCCATTGCTAAAGCAGGAGTGACGATACCCCGGCATTGAACGAGACCTAGCACTTGGTGCTCAGTCTACCTGAATGGCTCATCTGCTCCCATAGGGGAGGACAGCTACAGGTCGGCAGTCCTTCTTGTCAGTGGGACTTGAGGGATGGCAGAATACCATAACCAAGCTGCCTGGGCCCACAGTGCAGGCATTCAGCATCGACTGCATGCCTGGTGCTGTGGGCAGACTTGAGAACTGAGGACTTGCTTCCAGATGACTGAAATGCTGAGGACAAGGAAACAGGAGGTGTTTGAGGATCTGACTGGGGCAGGAGATGAGGGTCCTGAGGGCCACTGGGCTGGTGGTAGTCCCTGCAGGTCCCATCAGGCAGCTGTGTGGAGGGGACTCTTTGAGCCTTGTATGAGGTGAGCAAGGAGGGAGAAGCCATGCTCCTAGGGAACCAGTAAGGACAGAGGGCAGCAGGGGGCAAGGTCACAGGGTGGGAGAGATAGCCAGGGGCTGGGTCCTGGGGTCGTTAGGAAGCTGCTGGACTGGACTGGAGCAGGAGACTTTGGACAGAGAGAAGGGGCAGAGTGAGGAGGAGGCGATGACAGGGTGGGGGTCTGGGGGAAGGGAGAAGGACGCGGGCTGGGGGTTCCCAGGGAGCTTCGTGGAACTGGGGTGGGCAGTGATGTCTCCCCTTCACCCAGGCCCCTGAGTCTGCAGTGGGAGATTGAATCCAGGTGACGTGGATGAGGACTCGTCCCACCCCAACCTCTGAACTTGGGACTCCAGTTTCCAGCCTGACCTTGGAAGCCTTTTTTTCTAGAACACCCTTCCTCTCTGCCCGTAGCAGGGAGAGCAGGCCCTGAGGTTTCAGAGAGAGGTTTCGCAGCAAGGTTTTGGTTTCAGTACTGTCGTTTCTCAGTGTGCCAGTGCCACTCTCTGCTCCCACCCACAGGGCCCTCGCACTCAGGGGTGTCACTGTCACCCACAGTGGGGTGGGGAAGGGGACAAGCCACTTGCTGGGAAACTTTCCTGACATCCCCACCCCTGTTCTGAGAAGGGAAACGACCCTGGGGCAAGGGCCATGGGGCCCCACATCTGTGGCCTCCCACTGTTTTCAGAAAGATAAAGCCATGGAAATTTTCTTCCAAGGATCCACTCCTTTTGCCTCCTACGCCAAGAAAACAGGAAGCCCCGTAGAGTTCAGGCTTTGAAAGGTGCTGCGCAAAGCTGCAGAAGCCCCAGGCATTTCTCATTCAGCTCTTCTGCCCAAGCAGTATTGGCCCGTTCAGTGGAGTTTCTATTTCAATGCTCACGCACCTGCATTACCGTGCATGGTTTCACTCCATGTCACCCACTGAGCACTGAGTATAGGTCACCTCTTTACGTCAGCCCCACTTACAGATAGGCAGTGAGCTCACAGCTGTGTCTCCATGCTGTGGTCCACCAAGCAGGGAAGAGTTGGAACCCTAATCGCCCCTGCTTGCCTGAGCTCTCAGAATGTATAGACCAGCTGTGAGCTAGATCTTTGGGCACAGAGCACAGTGCTGCGGTCTAGAGCCCTGGGTTTCTGTGGCCAGTCCCTGCTTATAGCCACTACATATGTTCTCCAGACATGGTGCTGCCCAGTCCACTTACACTTCGGGTCCTCATGCAGCCCTGGAAGACATGCCCCACGATGAGCTAAGAGAACTGAGACAAACACACAGCCATTCCGGGGGTCCGAGACACACACTTGGGTGTGCAGCCTGGTTTGGGTAACTAGCTGCTTGCACTTCCTGACCCTGGGCTCTGGGGAATGTTAACATGCACCACTCCCTGCCAGTTTGGCCAATCAGGATAAAGCTAAGATGAACAAACAAAGGGAGAGGAAGGTGAGGGACGAAGTTGGTGTCGGATACAGGAAATGGGCACTAACCCACCCTGGATGGACCTCTACAGGACTCGCCATCCCCTCCCAGGCTGCATGGCAGACTCTACCTCCGGGACACAACCTACCTGGCCTCTGGGCTGCTGGCGGTAGCTCCCTCTTTGCAAGTGCGTGGAAGGAAGGAAGCTCTTGACACATGAGCTTGTCTCAACTCCAGTGGCCTTGGCTGCAGGAATGGGTGGCCGACTGAAGCAGCTACCCAAGCAAAGCAGCCCCAGCGGGGAGAAGGGGGCTTTCCCTGCGTCCCTGCAGGGGGTGAGGGCAGCAGTCTGAGGACATCTCCTACCTCTGCAGACTCACCAAGGAGCCCTTCACCCGGAGACCGCTGTTGTGATGCTGTTGTTAGAGACAATCCTGTTTTACTGGCCGTTGAGTTGGGCTGGGTGGGAACCGTGCCCTGTGTGGGTCGGGGAAGTGGGCTTTGTTCAGACTTCTTCACAGAATCAGGGTTTGCAGGACGTTGTCATCCGGCCAGTAACTAGGCATCCTAAAGACAACCTCAAGTGTATAGGGCAAATACAGACAGAGAGGTGACTGAAGCTCCACCCCCTGGCCTGGCCCTACCTCTGCCATGGCCATGACTTCCGCTCCCAGAGCTGGAATACAGATTGCTCTGCCCAGAAACAGAGGGTCCCAAAGGGGAAGGCAGGGCGACGTGTGGAGGGTCAGACACCTGCCTTAGCTCAGCGCATGAGCCCGTGGGGCACAGAGCAGCTAAGCATGTCTGATCTCCATCCCTTCTCTCTCTTCTGCAGTTAATGAGATCATCAGGAAGGAGTTTTCAGGACCTCCTGCCAGAAATCAGACGTAGAAGCCGCCATTACTCAGACGCCTTCCATAGCAGACCCCTCGGAGTCCCCCACTGTCCAGCTCTTCGGCCCAGAGGCTGCATGCAGAACAAGGCGTTTGAGTGCCCATAGAGGAGCCGGCCCCCCGCCCATGCAGACCCAAGCGGCCCTGTACTTCTCTGCATCTTCCTTTTAGATCCGTGGGAACTTTTCCAGTGGAACCTGCCAGCATCTCAGCCAGCTGTTAAGTGCCTGCCCACTAAAGTGACATCTGGGCCCAGACAGGACACCAGAACTCAGAATTGACCTGTGGTCTGAGCGACTGGAGCCTGGGATTGACTGAGGAGACCCCAGCCCTCGGCATTCATGTTTCCTGTCACACATACAACCATGGCCCCCTGCCCCACCCCAGGAATCCCAAAACTGACACGCCGACGGGGCCCATCCTTGCCATCGCAAAAGCTTTGGTCCTGAATTTTTTTCCTTCCTGAACAAAATTTCCTTCCCCACCAAGACCACCTCTCCCAGTGTCTTGGTGTTAAGTTATAACGTGTCCACATTTGTTAGCATCTGGGTTTCTCTGCGTCAGGGAGCTGGTGCCGACCGCCGAGATCCTGCCCCCCACCCCGGGGCAGTGCACCTGCAGACCCAGGAGACTCCTGCTGCGGCTGTCCCGCTCCCCAAGGTCCCCACTTGCCTTTGTCCTAACGGCTGGAGTACTTTCCCATCCATCATGTGCATGAAATTTTGAAGAGGAAATGGTAGAACGGCTAATGCAATCCACGCCCCCCCCCAAAAAAATTCAAGTGTTTTTGTTAAGGAAAAAGGACCCTGTGCTTCTGCAAGTGGATTTTTATCCAGCGAAAGAGGAGAGGAGCCCGCTTTCCTCTCCACCTTCAACTTAAAACAGGAAATCTCATGAGGTAGCCATTGGTTGCTTTTTACCTGACTCCACCTACAGAGGGCCCCAGAGTGCCAGCCCCTGCAGCCCTGCCTCCATCGGCAGGCACATCCTTTTCCTCACTGAATTGGGGCCACCACAGGTCCAGCTCTGCACCCATCCAATGTGGGTCAAGTGAAGGGCCTCCCAAGAAATCCATGCAGTTATTTTTTTCATAGCACACTTTTGTTTTTTTGAAGACCCCTTGTCTGTGACTTCTCACGGAGCTCACTACTAATCTAATCTTTCTCCATTGGTGCAGTTTTTGCCAACAAAACCCTTAGAGTCCTTGGGTGAGTTTTTCTGGGACTGTTGTTTCTCTAGGCATTCATGACACCCACTCCCTGCTCCTCGCCCCCTCCCCAGGATAAACTGGGAATTCCTCTTCAGTTCGCAGCCAAAGATTAACCCAGGGGAGCTTTCTTAGCCCTGCCTGCTGCATACAGACTCAAGATCAAAGTCACAGCCACCAAGTGCCCAGGGTGGGTCTTCCACGCCCTGGCTTCCTTGTCAAGGTTCCTCAGAGATCAGCCTTCCTGGGAGCTGGGTCTGTGGGCTTGCTTGCACCTCACCTTGGGTCTGATCAGTTTCTATCCGCCATTCCCTGGGCCCTCAGGGGTGCCCCCATGCCCTCTTCTCAGCATCTGCAATGGCAGTACCTTCTCATCAGCCGAGGACGCCCCTGTGGCAGTAGCTGTGGCCCATGGCGTCCCTAGCTTCACCGGATGGGAGGAGAGCTGGGGACAGTGAGCCCTTCTCCCTCGGCCTGGCTCAGGGCCGCAGCCTGCACGCCAGGGGATCCGGTCTTCCCTCACTCATCTGAATGTTTCGCCCAAGTGCCTTCCTGCTCTTGTAGCCAAGTGGCTCTGCTCCATTGTCCTCAGGGCGAGAGCCCTAATGCATCTTCCATCGTTAGTCTCCTGCCTGGGATTAGCACAAATGGCCTGCTGGTAGCTCCAGCCCCTGCACACAGATGTGCGTGTCTGGGTGTGTGCACAACACACACAGACAAACCCTCTCTGCTACCACATCTCAGCTGGATATTGCAGGAAGCACTTTGATCCACAACTACACCTAGCAGCCGAGAAGAGAGAAAGCAAGTCTCCAGACACACGCAGGTCATGGAACGTGGAGGAGGAGCCGACAGCTGTCGGGAGAGCTGGATGCGTCAGAGGTGCCAGGAGCAATTGCTTGTGAAATACTTTCAGTACGGGAAGAGGCAATAAGACCCTCTAAAGCACAAGACTGTGTGGGGAAATGAGAGTCGGAGCAATGACAGGACGTACCACACGTCCATTAGAAGGGTCTCAGTTAAGTCGTAGTTTGCACTTGCCATGTCCAAGTTTGTGTAAATAGGCAGCCCTCAGACGGGGGACACATTGCTGAGTGTATTGCCGAAGGTCGCGAGTCTTCCTGCATTGTACAAAAGCTACTGCGGCTTGATAATACATAGCAGTCTGAATTCGTTAGTATGTCATTAAATTTTATTTTCTTATCTGTATTTTTATGCTTTCTAGCTATCCTCAGAATATTACACCCTTCTTGGAATTAGAAAATATTTATAAATGCTCAGAAGTCTTTGGAATTGTCTCTTTTTACACATGTGGGTTTTGTGTTTTGTTTTCTTTTTCTTAAGAGAAATGATGTATTTGAGAAGGATTTGCTGACATTCCAAGACACCAAAGCCCTCCAATGGGGACACTTTTCCTCTCAGAAGGTTCCCAGAGGGCTGGGAAGGGCGGGAGGAGTGGTCGTGAGCAGACAGATACCTGTCCCTTGCCTAAGAACAATGTGGACTTTCTTCAGCACTGGGCCTGGGTCTCCTCACTGAGAGAATGACTGTGAGACCACCACCCCCTTTCATCCCCACCAAAGACAGACTCAGAGTGGGGTTTCAATGAAAACAACACCAACCAGCAACAAAGCCCTGCCTGCAGACGGGAGACTCCAAGGGGGTCCCCTTACCAGCGCAGGCCAAGGCATCCATATGGAACTGACAAACCTAGCACTGCTGGCCACCTGCAGCCATGGTCTAAAGAGAACCTGGGTCCCCAGCACGCACGCACACACACAGCCTGGGAGGAGTGGAGCTGACAGCCTCTAAGAGCCAGAAGTCACAACCTGCGTTCATGTGCATCCAGAGGCCGAGGCACCTGCCCCAGTGAGCTAGAGCTGACACACCAAGACCAAAAGCCCATGTGTTCTGACATTTGCGTGCTCAGCACTTGCTAGTGAGGCTGAAAGTGTTTATTTCCATGTAAAAAAGACATGCCATTTCCAAGTGCTTTCTGTTGCTCACAGTTAGAGATGGCCAGGTCCACAGAAGAGCCGTGTTTACAGAAGCAGTGGTGGGGGTGGTGGCTGTGACAAGCAATCCTACGTGCATCTCCTGGAGAGGCAGCTCTTTAAGGATCCACCAAAGCCTCCAGGGGGGGTCTCCTCTCACCCTGAGCTTGGGTGTAGAGTTCATGGGCCCAAACCAGCCAACTAATAGCCGGGCCATCCGGCATTCATGACAAAAGCAGTGTCATGTCCAACCGCACTGCCCAATGCCAAGATTTCTCAGCTTACCTGCCTCCAAGTTAGCCGGCACCATAGTCCTTACTCTGGGACTGGCAAGGAGGGGATGGGGAATCTGGCTGAGTACCCCTGAAGAGGAGCCCGAGGGAGCAGGTTAAGAACATACCAGAGTGTTTCCCCACCCATAGGTGCCTGGGGTTGGGCCAGAATCTATGCACTGGCTGTCATGCTTCTAGAGCAGGTGCTTGCAGCGTCAAACGGGCCGTGGTCAGTGGGATCTCGGGTGTCGCGCCCTGGACAGCTGGTGCCCGAGCCTCACTCGGCCCTTTTGCCACTGCAGCCCTCAGAGGCATGGGCTGTGGAGAGTTCTCATGGGATTCTCCAGCAAATCCAAGTCTCTCCACCAGGCAAAGGAAAGACTAAGCTGCAGGGCTTAGCTTTGGGAAAATCCTGACTGTTAAATGAGTTTGAATACATCACATTCCTATGCAAGACGTTTTTAATCTCGTTTAATGCAGTTTATTTTTGCTATGTGTAAAGTATTTTTATACGCCTTGTATTATGATAGTTTAGCAATAAAATGGTTGAAACCAACTTTGGTGTGTCTCATTTCTGCTCTCCTTGGGGACCCTGGGGCAACCTCTTGTTAACTGGGGTATTGTGCACCTGCTGTGTTCTCAATCACACCTTCTCTCAGTGTTAGGAGGTTCTGTTCCATTTCCCAGTTAACACTTGGCTCAGAAGCCACTGTCCAATGGGACAGAGCCATAAGGTCCCCCCCACCTCCCCGCACTGGTCTGACTCCCTCCCGGCTCTGCCATAACCTACTCTGAGGTAGCATCCAGACACTCTGTGCATTTCATCAGCCTTGGACTCTGTCAGATCCCGGGGTATTTGGGGCCAACGGTGTGATGCCAGCCACTTGGAAGGTAAGCACCATCCTTCCTGTTGTGAACCTCTTGCCAAATTCCAAAGTCAAAACTCAAACAACACACCTGTGCCATCAAAGCTGCGTACAGCACTAGAAATGGCAAGAATAGAACCTTCCAGCCGGAATGGTGTTTCCCCTTGTCCCCCAGTGAGAGCTCAAGCACCCAGGTGGTTTGGAAGAAACCACTGCCAGTGAAGTCTGAGCTTCCTTCACTACTTTCAGTGCTGCCCTCAAATTCCTGCGAAGTAGGGTCCCACGCAAGGCCTTGAGGACACACCCCACTACGTCTCAGGGATTTCCCAGATCCCCATCCCAAGCCTGGAGGCAGCAGTGCCATCTGGGCATGGTCCTGGTGGCCTCCAGGGACCTTGTGAAATGTCCTAACCCCCCCTCCAGGGCCTGGGACCTGCTAATGTGCATTCCACCCATTCCTCCACCCCCAGACTTCATACCCTTGCCACAAGGGCAAGGCCAGCTCCCAAAGGAGGCAGACTGCTCCCAATTTTAGTATTTCTAGCATTGTGGCAACAGGGCCAGCAGAATGGTGCTACCATGACTCAAAATTCCAAGAATGTATCCAGCCAAGGCTACTTCATGCTTGGGGCGACCCTCCCTTACCCCCTGCCCCTTGCTCCCTACCCTGTGCCCCGTGCCCCCTGCTGGTATCTGCTTCATCTGTGTACACCTCCCTAAATGCCTGCCACTTCTGAACCCAGGATTATCTAAAGCCGAGGAAAAAAGAACAATCCAGTCACTCACACACTTGAGGCCGCATTCTCCCTTTGTGTGTGAATCACACGGGGTCCCTACAATGCCAGCCTACCCTCAGAGTCCCACATGCCAGGTGAGAATGGAGATTCGGGGCTTCGTGACTGTCAGCTGCAGATTGCACAGTCCACTGAGAGCAGATTTCTAGTCAGTGCAGCCTCAGCTTAAATTACCTGGAGGAACCTTGCGTTCCCACTGCCTGGGAGGGAACATTCCTTCTCCCCCTGTGGGCCTGACGTTGGCTAACTACACAGTTCAAGTCAGGAACTTGAGTTTACACAAGGAAATACACAACAGGACATGTCAGGGTGACCTGGTCAGGAGCTGGCGAGTGTGAACATGCTCCTTGTTGCACACGAGTGCGTGGGGGTGGTAGTGTACCAAGCAGCAGAAAGTAGCACGGGTTTGGTAGCAAGTGGGGATTCAAGAAGTATAAGGCTGGTGGAGGAAAACACCGCTGATTCATCTTGGGTTCAGCAACTGGAAAGAAATAGGCTTTGGTGGCAGGACCAGGTTGAGAAAACGGTTTCATCAAGCAGTCATCCCAGTATCAAACTGAGTCTATACCAGGCAATCACCCCAGTATCAAACAGCCTAGATCACCCATCACCAAAGTACAAACGCCCTGGATCAGGTAGTCAACCCAACAGCAAACTGAATATAAGCAGGCAATCACTTTAATATCAGTCTGGGTTAGTCACCCCAATATTAAAATATCAGTTACCCCAATAGCAAACATCTCGTAGCAGTTTCCCAATAACCCAAATAACAAAGTGAGTGGAACAGTCACCCCAGTATCAGGGTCAGGCAGCCACACTAATATGAAACTGATCCTGGCACAGGCAGTTCCCCCAGTATCAATCTTAAGCAATCACCCCAATATCAAACAATCTGGAATAGGTAGTTAGAGTCTGGATCAGGAAGCACCCTGATATCAAACAGTCTGGGTCAGAAGTCACCCGAAAATAAACTGAGTAAGGACCAGGCAGTCACCCCAATATCAGTCTATATCAGGCAATCACCCAAATAAACAGGACAGGACAGTCACCCCAAAACCAGTCTAGGTCAGGCAGCCACTCAATACCAAAGTGAGTCTCATTGGAAACATCACGAAAGTAAAGTGAGTTGGAACAAGTGGTTACACCAATAAACTCGGGATGAAGCAGTTCCAACGGTCTGGAACAGGCAATCACCCCAACACAAAACAATCCGGATCAGGAAGTTACCCCAGTAACCATCTATGTCCATATCAGACAATAATACTTCAATATCAAGCTGAACCTCATCAGCCTGTCACCCCAGATTCTGGGGCAAGGAAGTTCCCCCACTTACAGTCTAGATCAAACAGTAACCCCCACATCAAACAGTCTGAGTAGTCACCCCAATATCAAATTGAGTGGGACAGGCAACAGTAACAGACACTGGGGTAGGCAGTCACCCTAAAAAACGAGCAATAACCCCAATTTCAAACAGCTTGGCAGTCACCCAAGAAGGGTCAGAGAATCACGAGGCAGGACTCTTCAGGAACAAGTGAGGGCAAGTGCCCACGACCCTGGTCCCCCAACCACTGGGCATCTGTGACACACCTCACGCCACTGGGCTGGGGCCAGTGGTCTCCAACTCTGGCATCTGCCTGCTCTCCTGGCACAACTCAGCCGCCAAGCCTGGGGAGCTGCCCCACGTGGCTTTGTCTATCAACAGACTTGCCCAGTTCCAAAGCCTGGCACTGGATCCAGGACACAGGGCATATGACAGCCCAAGCCACTGCCCCAGGGCCGTCCTGACCTTGGTTTGCAGGGTGCTGGGGGGAGGGGGGGAGACAGCCTTCTAGAACTCATGGATCAGATGCCCCTGAGCGTACGCCCATGCCTTCTGCCAGCTCAGAGCCTCCAGGCTGTTCTCACAGAGGAAGCATTCGGACCGCTTGCCACAGAATGTCACTTCACACATGCATGCTCCAGACTCCCCTACTGCCACCCACCTAGACAGACACTGCACAATCACATCCCAACACGCCCCTAGACCTCCCCCTTCCCCACCACGCTCGTCAGCTTGGGGCAGCGGCAGCTGAGCCCAGGCCGTGTCAGAGAGCCAGCAGGAGCTGAGTCTTCGCTGAGTCCTTTCCCCGTGTCTCCAGGAGTCCTGGTGGCCACACCTGCTGAGGGGGACTGAGCTCCTGTCCATCACATCACGTCTGTCCATCATGCCCACAGACCCCATGAGAGCAGAGGACAGTGCTGGGGTCTGCTGGACATCACAGCCCGGGCCCGAGGCGCAGTAGGCCCCTCATTCCCTGGGTGACTTTTAGACGCCAGCAGCACCCCGGCAACCACGGATTCGCCTGGAAAGTACAGGAAATCAATCCACCACTTCCTCAGACTTCACATGTTTTTCAAAGTCGGCAAGAGACTGGAGAGAGAGCTTTCAGGTGCACCTCGGTTTATCCCTTCCTAATGGAGGATTCCTGTGGTCTTCCAGAAAGCCAGCTCCCCTCACTGTAGGCAGCAGTAAACCTGGTGCCTCTCGCCCCCGGGACAGAAGTGAGGGGCCTAGAGCCTGTCCTGAGCGCCCTGGTTCCACTCCTGTGTGCCACCCACCCCCAGCTCCACCTGCAGCCAAACCAGCAGGAACCCAGCATTGCCCAGTGCAGGGTCTCTGCCCTGGGAAGTGGGACCCAGGCCCACGGCTGCCCATCTCCCTGCCCGTTATGGGTACTCGCGTCCAACTCTCCAGTCTCTTCCAACCCCCATTAGGGACTGGAACCCCTCTTTCTTCCACTGGCCCTCTACCCAGCTCACTCCCTGGGCAGGGCCCCATGACCCTTACCACAACTCAGAGTGACACCCACTCACCCATTCAGTGCTAGCAGATAGAAGTCCACACGATGGCTGTGTCCGCAGAGCATGACCCGGGCAAGCACACAGGCCCCATCTCCACTCAGCCGTGTCTTCCACAGGCCGCAGGGGAGAGCCCACCCCTCGCCCCTTCCCACTTCTGTAGAATGAGTTGCTGCCCCCACAGGCCTACACCATGACCACCTCCGATTTCGGAGCCAGCAAGGCCCGAGCCAAGCCTCATCTCCGCCGGCTACAGCTAACTTACCTGCCTCCCCCACAGGCCTCTGGGATTCCCAGGAGCACTTGGGGCACAGCAGGCTCATCAGCGTGCGGGGGTAGGATTCACACCTGTACTGTGTCCAGGGCAGATCCTGAGCTTCCAGGGATCAGGCTTGTCCCCCTGAACCTCCTCCAGGGTTCCTCTGCAACCCCCTGGGCCCTTTCCGGGCAATCCTCCTGGTTTCTCAGGAGCTGTTGACTTGGTTCAGCTCAGCTCACTCCCTGCCACCAGCTACTTCAGCTGTGGCATCGCCCTCCCCCAGCCCTCACACCCAACCCAGGCCCTCAGGCCTTAGCAAGCTGCACCT